AATATAGTACTGTTTGCAGAGTTTTTTAATTTTTAGAACATGTCTGTCTCAACCATACAAGGAAAATTTTTCTCATAGTTAACATTGTAGAAAAAGCACTATGAAACCTATAGACTCATATAGGAACCCTACGTTGAAAGAGCCTTGGGTTGAGCTTTTGAGAACACATATCTTGTAGTGCTCTCACGCTATTGGATAAATAATTCAGTAAATAATTCTGTTATTAAATAATTTATAGACTGAAATTTACATTCAAAGTGAAAAGTAATTTGCTTTATTATATTGGTTATTATTATAATCATCAGATATAATCAAAGAATAGCCTAATTAGTAACTAAATTTTCGAGATTAAAATCAGAAAAATTTAATTAATGTTCGAGCAACCCCTGAATAATAGTATACAGTATCTATGTACTATTATTCAGTATTTATTATATTACATAAATATGAAATATTTTTCCGCCCTCGGGTGGTTTTGGGAGGCTGGTACTTCCTCGGGCAAAAAAGCAGTTTTCCGATACTCGTTCGAAAAGTCTCCTTTACGAACCTCGTTACGTCCCTCGCCTTCGGATCGGGCCGCAAACCTCTTGGTTCGCAAACAGAGACTTTTAAAACTCGTAGAAAAACTACTATTTCGCAATAGTGTGCGGAAAATAGTGTGCGGCAAAGGTTTTGCCACACACCGGAAAAAATTTTGCTACACACTGGAAATCAAAATTCAAACCTATTTTGTACCTATTTTCCTCACACATTGCGAAAAAACTTGTACGCAACTCGTGCGGGACGATTTCCCGCACTCGTGTGATAGACTCGCACTCGTGGCCGGTGACAGTAACTCGTACCTTGCGATCACACTCGTGCTACGCACTCGTGTGCTCAACTGGTACTCGTTCCCGTCAACTCCGGCACTCGTGTGAGTCAATCACTTTTCGTGCGGGAAATCGTCTTTTCCGCACTTGTTACGTAAATAACTAATATCCTTTACTTATCAACCTAATTTCACAATTTTTTAGCATAGACAATCAAATCACAACCACACGTGTACATGATTGATTTATGTATGGGTTATTTTTTAAATCGTACAGTTATCGTATATAAATATTTTGCCTTATTTTTCTCTTTCCGGCTTCTCCAAATAAATGATGAGTAAATGATGCAGGTCAAGTACTTCCTCCTCCTCGTTTAATTCCTTATTTTTTTTACTTGCGAATTCGCGTGCCAGAACATTTCCGAATTCTTTTCCAACGTTCTCTGGCATTTTGCTTATGAATGGATTAGCAGCCACAAAGTGTTCTAAAACATGCGAAAAATATTTTTGATAAGTAATGTTAATTATCTGGATGTTTACTTTTTCGCGTGATATATAACGTGATGACCAACTCTTTGCGATTTCCAAATTTCTGAAGATGTACGTCTTTTTGCGTAAGCTGCAGTGCAAGACCTTAAAACCGGTTTCCTCAAGTATTTTCTTCATCTGAACCGTTGGACTGTCACAATGTTGAAATTTTGGGATGAATTTAGTGACTTCCTGGAAAATACATCATTTTCGAATTGTTCTTGTTCTTCAAAACTATTGGTACTAGTAAAAACAACATTATTAATTACCGTCATATACGGTTTGTATTGAGACATCTGAGCTATTCTTAGGTAGCAGTCAAATATTTTGTGGTAAGCTACATACAGCACCAGGGCTCTTCCACCTGGCCGCAGAATTTGGTAAATATTTTCAAATGCTCTTCTAAAAGAGAAAAAAAATCTTTTGAATAATTGTTACGGTAAAATATATGTATTTATTAATCAGAAGAGCTAATCATATTAAAAATTTTCTCAGTGTCTGGGCAAGATCTTGGTTTTTAAAAAATACTTTAAACAGCATTGAGTTTTCGGGTTTTTTGTCAACTGCTTGATCTACTCAAACGTATCGTTTGGCTTGGAAGAACTTATAGACGAGTAGAAAATCCGCTGAACCTAAAAATTGATATCCAAGGGGTCGTTTTTGATATAGTACGTAATTTAATGCGTAGATTACGAAAAAAATAGTTAAAAAGTCGAAAGCTCTCTTGAATAGCGTAAAAATAGCGTTTAAAACTTGTTTCACGTATATCTCACTAACGGTAACAGATCGAACGAAAATAAAAATACCAGCGTGTAAAGCGGAAAATTTCCAATCGATAAGGTCTTTTATTTTTGTTCGGACTAACAAAAAATTTTAAGATCAAAAATATCTAATATATACTCGTCCAATATGCCATGAGAGCGAGTGAGACAGAGAGCGCGTGGACAAGCAGCTGTGTGCTCCGACCTACACCAACGATCGTCGGGTGCTCCTTGCATGAATATAGGTGTATACGTGATCATATGTGTGCACTGTGCAGTATCCGCATTTACTTACACTAAAATCAGTGTTTTGAACTTTTTGGAGTCAGAGAGGAATCAGGCTTGAAGAGCAACTCTTTATGTATGAAAAAATATGTTGTTAAGGTAAATGTCCCTATTGTGAGACAGGGTTAAGCGTACCAAAAAGTAAATTAAGCTATTCAAAACCAAAAAATACATATGAGTGGGCAATTTTTTTTATTATAATATAAAATGACGTGCTTTAGCAACAACAAATTTATTTTAATGTATAAATAAGATCGCAACAATAATTTAATTTGAAATAATGGAGAAAAATATGAGGTCCC